TGGTATTATGGAATTGAAAATTCTTGCATTGGTATCGTTGTTTGTTGCTAATTGAATCTGTTGCTGTTGTTTGATAACCTATGATATCAAAAAAGATGTAGATACGAAACGAAATGAAAACAAAATTTACAGAGTTGGGTGCGTATAAAAGTTCAATGTGAATTGTAGGTGGTAAATTTTTCTTTAGAATTTGCCGAATTTTTTGTTGAAACTCGGTATTGACAACTACAGATGCCTTAACAGAAATATGATTTAAAGTAATACAAGGACCATTGGTAATAGCGAATGTTTGTTCATTGTGAGAAAGTGACTCGAAACGAAGCATATTGTTCATCGACTTTTTTACATCAAAATTCGCTATGCTCATAGGCATGGTTTTACAAGTTTTCGTCTTTTGAATTTCATATACTATTGTATCATTGATTTTAATGACGAATTCATTGATGTACTTGGTAAATGAAAGTGCTACAACAAATAATAAGTAAGACTAAGTCTGAAAATCATTATTCTAACCTTTTGTGAAATAAGCCTTGAGGTCTGATAAATTCAAAGTTAAAAAAATTTCGTTTGTTGTCTCTTCATTTGATAATCGATAATTGCCGGTCAATATCTCGACATGTTCAGTAGTTGGATCATGAAGTAAAATATATTTTTTGTTCAACGTAAGACAAATTGAAGTCGATTGAGATTGTTTCTTGGTAGGTAAATCACGAAGATATGTTTTCAAAATTCTATTATCTTGCCAGGTAAACTCCATAAATTTTTTTCCCGAAATAATAATCGGTTCTTCACAAAGTGAAAACACAGAAAAGAATCCAACACCAAATTGGCCAACTGAATCCACGTCGGTATTACCTTCTGCAATGGCAGTTACACGCTTCCAATCAGTTTCAGTAAACTCACGCCCATTGTTAGTTGCACAAATTTCCGTAATACAACTATTGTGAAAATCTATCTCTAAAAATAAAAAGCAGTCATTCATTTGAAAGGGTATGGATGGATATCGGTGTCAGATCAATAGAATACCCACATTCACCTCCATTCTCAAATATTTTATGTTAAGTGAAGAAGATCTTTTATAAACTCCTTCGAATTATATCACAGAAGTTAACAACCAGCATAAGAATTTTATATCAAATAAATTATACCTTCAAAAAAATAAAAGCTTTTCTTACCCGATGTATGACTTGGTTGTCGTCTAACATCGTTACATGTGCGACATGTAATCTCAAAATGAAACCATGTTGCTCCTACATCGTCGGCATTTTGAATAAGTTCTCGGCAGACAACAAATTCGGACGAATAACGAGCGAGCATTTTGTCAATTAGATTTCGCATATGAGTTCTAACAATTTCTTTCTTGCCAGCATTTCGTACTGCATCCCGTAGAGCATCGGCTGACGGGGGCGGCGCTGAAATAGTTGCCATTTCGTCTGTACTGTATTGATCCATTCAAACAGAAAAATAATTATCTTGTTATATATATAATAAATCTATAGCAGTTTGTCTATGATAAATGAAAATAGTTTTTTAAATTTTAATAAAATATATTATTAATCATATCGAAGATGATGCTGTGAATGTTTTATTCCTGAAAAGAATTGCTTGAAAACACTCAGATTGTCTAAAAACTAATGCAAAACCCGTCGACGTACAAATGCTTCACAAAATCATTTTTACTACCGACTTAAATATTCCAACATACATTGTTAAATATGCTTTTCTTTTCGTCATTGTGTACACAAACAATACCCGTTACTAAAGTAATAAACGGAAGAGAATAGAAAAAAAATAAATGCGCCTTTAAAAAAGGATGCCTAAAAGCATCAAGAAGAAAAAAACAAGGTAGTGACGCATAAATTTTGAATTGAAGGTGAGAGTGCATGAATAGGCGCTATTGGTGATGCAGCATTTATAATATTGAGAAATCATCTGAATAATGTTGGAAGTTCAAATGCCGAAAGTAAAAATATTAAAAATAGAAAATATCGAAAGCACAAATGATACAAACGTCGAAAGTTACAGATGGGTGTCGGTGGGTATGGGTGGCTGGTATTCATGTTCTAATGAGCTCCACACCCATATCCACACCCTCAAGATGATTCAATCTGATGCCGTTTATATCGAACTCAAAAATGACAAAGCTTTCTTCAGTCTTATTGTTTGTTTTCAAAATAAAAATTTTCATTATGATATAGGTAAGTTATTACTAAACATCATTCTAGGAATCATACAGATATGTCTGTGAGGAAAGACAATTCTTTCGTTTGCCGTTATGTGAGATGTTAGTTTATTCGGTAACCAAACGCTAACCCATATAAAAAAGAATAACGACACATCACACATCGACACACACTGAACAGAACAATATATATCTGCCGCTGCCAATGCCTTCGTTCATGCATGCACGCATTCCAACACATCCTCTCCGACTCAGAATAACAAAATATGGAAGAGAAGGAAAAGAAACGGAAGAAGAACAAAAAGATAAGTGAGTTGGGTGAGAATGGAAAGAAACAAACACGAGAGAGAAAAAATTGTATCATGCGCAGCGATCATGGCACGCTACATCCATTCTTTATCTGTGGCACTGTTCTAACTGTTTTGCGTTTTTTTAGATCTCTACATTTTTAGACTTAAACTATTCAATTTTTACATCTTCTCCTTTTGCAAGGAAGAAAAAACTTCAGAAGAACTTCCACTACGAAGTGAGAATAAACTATAAGGAACTTTTTATTTGTTTTAGAATATAATAAATAAGATGTACAATTGAAAATTAATAAGAGTAAAACACTCGAGTTTCTGATCCCATAATTTTGTATTTTCACATGGAGACTTAATCCATTAACTTTGATCAATTACGCGCTAATTACTGTTCCAACTCGTATTTGTCTTTTCTTTAACAATATCTTCTTTACATTTTGTCGATATGCTGAAGATAAAACATAATAAATGTAGAAACTAGTGCAGAAAGGTGTGTAACCAAAAATATAAGTTATAGCTGAAAAGAGTCCTTCAATTGCTTGACTCATATCACTTTTCATTTCGTTTGCTGTTGCAGTTGAATAAGTAAGCTTAGCACATGGAGGAATAGTCGCAATAGCGTAACACAGAATCTGTAAAATTAGTATTATTGAAAATTGTCTGTCAATCTGTTGTTTCTTGGCAGTTACCGTCTGTTTCTGTTGTTGATCTGTTGAAATATGAGCGTTGTTGTTGTTGTCATTATTTTGTGTAGCATAGAGCTTAGTAACGGTGAGTACAGATGTCGCAACGTTCATAGCAACTCTTGTTTGGCGATGCCTGGCCTGATGCATACTTTTAAGATTTCGATAAGTAAGAACACCAAAAATCGTTAAAACAATAAT